GGGGAGTCAATAGATTACTCCCGGGGAGTCAATAGATTACTCCCGGGTAGTCAATAGATTACTCCCGGGTAGTCAATAGAATAACTCTATAGTAAATTTTTCAAGGAAATAATGTTATACGTCGCAGATTCAAAAATTGATATAGTAGTTAGTCCATACACAGCATCTGAGAACAGCGTAGTTTCTTCTATAGTAAAGTTTACAAAAAAAAATTCCAAAAGGGATATGATAGTCATCAACCGTCAATAAAGACCCAATAGATCAATAAGACTTTATTCCTATACTTTTAATATATGTGACAAGGCGAAAAGAAATATTTTTTTGTCAGTGGCGTCGCCTAACGTGTTGGTTGACAATGCCAATGGCAAACCAGTGAGTAGCTGTATTTCGAACAATTGTGTCGAAATCATTCGCACCAATACATACTAACACAACGAATAACATACATACTAACACAGCGACTCAATTACAGTAGATGGCGCAACAAACAAATTTTTTTAACTTTTCTCCAAAAAACGTCAACTGGAAGGTCTTTCTGCAATAGATTGTTAAATTATGGCATACTATGATGGTCAACATGAGAGATTGGTCAACTACTCCAATTGTACTACATACATATCTATTAAATATATCGAGAAGAGAGTATGTTATTCAGCGCTTATAGCTGAGTAATGTCTGAATAAAAACATACTCTCCTCTCGATATTTTCAATAGATATAAAAATAGTATACACTAAAAAAATACAAAAAATACAATAGCTCTACATTTCATGTAGTTTGTTAAAAATAAACTAAAAAATAAAAACAAAACACAAATATCAATAATTATAATAAGCGAAGGGAGCTTCTACTTGTTTGTTTTGTATAGGAAAAATCGTGTGAGGAAATATATTAAAATTTCTCTATATGGGCCTTAAGGGTGATTTGAAAAAATATTAGTTTGAAAGTTGTTTATATAACACAGAAAACCACATGTTTTCATAAGTATAACATCTTATTGCTGTACTTCTCTCGCTATTTAGCTTATTACTTCTTACCTTAACTTTACTTAATAAATGTTAAACAAAAAAAATGTTTCAAGTGACCAAATATTTAACGCGTGAACGCAACAATATGACTGCAACAAATGAAATAAATTGCTATCAGTATTACCTTTATCCAATGCTGTTTACATCTCTTTTCAGTAAATGGTTTTAACAATTCCATATTATTTAACGATAAATTGAAATGTTCATCAAGTCAAACCTGATTAGATAGTTCAGTCTTGTACAATGTACATTGAGCGTGTTCTTTAAGACATTTTTAACAACCTGTTTTTGATCATTACTATCTCTTTCGATATGCACAAAGTTAAAATAGTGTAAAAATCCAAATTATTGAAGTATACATTTATTGAAATTCATTAAATCCATCAAAAACATTCAAAAATAACTAAGTTCTATTGAATAAATTTAGATCATTTCAATCTCCACATTTAATTCGCTACATGTAGAGAATAATACAATTAACACATTAACATTTAATTACACTTACAGGATTTTGTGAATTTGGTGTCGGAAAAATGAGTCTGTATCAGTCTATCGTTAACTCAAAATCTCATTGTTTTATTTATCTGATTCATTAAATTCTAATTGGCTCCCTGAGAAAACTCAAATATAAAATACATTTTGTCAGAATTTGACATGAATTCTCAATTTGATATCATTTTGTTTTAAAGAAAATGATAATAGCTCGAATCATAATGAAATCAGAAAATTTTCGAATCGAAAACCCTGAAAGGAGCATACGGTATCAACAAGTTCCTTTTGATTTTTCATTTGGACACGATATCTGATTCAAGACAATATTTGATGGTGCATAAGTAGCTGACGTGCTATTCGTTGCGACACTTCCACTTGTAGTCGCTTTGCCAAAACAACCTTGCCATCTAAATTACAGGACCGAAAAAAAGTCATCAGCGATTAAATAGTTCATCAGTTATCATGATACATGGTCATGCTGTCGAATCGCCTGTCATAAACTAACTAGTAGAACTACTGATATACACGAACCTTTTCTTAATTAAACGCACAACACGACGCTTCAATACAAACAATACAAATATCAATACACCCTGAATGGTGTTGCAGATGTCGGTTAATAAGAAAAAGTCACTGTTTTCAGATATTAAAAATGATATTCCTTCCATGCTCCAGGTCACTCCCATTACGATAAATAATCGTAAATACAATGTGAAACTGTAAACAAAAAGTCCATGATGCAAAAAGAAATCATTGATTTTATTTTATTTTATTTGAGCACTATAGCTTACTTGTCTTTGTCATGATTGAATTTACTCTGATGTCTTGAACTCTCCTCGTGTGATGTTATTTTTTTGAGATCTTGTTGTACTTTGCGAATTTTTAACGCGGTCAATAGGAAGAATATTATATTGATGGTACATATAATGCACAATGGCATATAAAAGAATACGAATTGAGATGCCACCGTTTCTGAAATTAAAAAAATTTCATTGAAACTATATACACAGCTTTGTAAAACTGAATTTGATATGCTTACTTTTCAAGAAACAGGTACCAACTCCAATGCCTGGTCGAATACTTTCCGAAATGGATGGCATTGAATCGAGAATAAAAACAGTGAATGTTAACAATGATGAAAGGCCCCAAGCATAGATCATATATAAAGTGAATCGCATTTTCTCGGAGAAAACAAGGAATCCACTGGTTGTACTATAAAATAAACAGAAATTATGACATTCATTTATAAAATATTAAAAAAAAAAACCATTTTATTAGAATGTACGACTCACCGGAAATTCCACCAGAGATCAAAGCTGATGACACTTAACCAAAGGAATGCGGATAAAAATGAGAAGTATATGAGATAACCAACTGATTTACAAATCAACGGTTCAACATAGTTCATTCCATTCAGTTGCACCAATGCCATGGCTGTGTAGCCAATGATGAGGCCAATCAAATAGCATAGCAAGCATTTGCCATGCAAATTTCTTAATTCGGGTAAACAAATATAAACCAAAATTGTGGCCAATATAAACGGTACGGATAATAACATGCCTAAGTGCAAGAGAAAAAAAATATCACAAATAAAAGTATTGTTTCGTTTAAAATCTATGGCATGATTGCAAGTTCAATTTTTGCGACAAAGGGTGTGAAAATCAAATACAATCAAATCATATTGTTCATTCAATTCCATGATTATCACTTACCATACGGCAAAATGGTGTAACGTGTTTCAAGTTTATCTTGATTTGTAAAGCACATCGCCAAATCCAATGTTGAAATATTGGTTTCTTTATTCAATGACGCTTTCAAGCAGTATTTCTGATGTGGTATCGTATTATTTTCAAAGAAAATAAATCCCCTCTAGAATAAAAATCAAAAATTACCAATTACCACGATATCGATATGAAAAAAGAGAACAAATCTTTGAACAAATCATTACCTGTGTAATTGTGACATTGTAGTTACTTGCAAGATAGACTCTATTGCACGGTCGATCATTAACGAATGCAAAGTGATCGTCCAATGTAATTTTTTCGGTTTTATTTTGTTCATCGATTAAATCAGCTGTAAATCCTTTGGCCGCACTATGTGGTTGACATTTTTGGCTTCCGATTATGGTTGCATCGAAAAACATTCCAATTGGACAACATAGACGAATGCATGGTTTTTTATTACAAACGCAACCACGAATGTATGGTTCGACGAAAACCCGTTCCTCTCCTTTTTCCAATTTATAATTTACCTTTGTATATTGATCCTTTGGAAATGTAATGCCATTGTACAAAATACTGTCGTCGTGTTGACGAATACCATCGGTGATATTGATTGAGTCCAGGTATTTACATGGCAAATCACGGCTTAACAGAAATGCATTACTATCACTTAGCAATAGAAGACCAATTACACTAAACAACCACACGCCCATGATATTCAATATTGACAGATGTATTTTACTGAATGAAAGAAAGAAAAACGAAAATATTGAAGAATTTAGAAAGAATAACGAATGATATAAGAAAATAATACCGAAGGATAATAACCGAAGGATTTATAGGTAGTAAAGAAATAGATTTATCTTAATTTTGCTGTGTCATTAACTCTGCCCATCAAAATAATTCTCTCTTACTCAAAAAGCAACAAAATGATTTTGATGAAACAAAAAACATTTTGTTTTAAATAGTGTGTCTATTGTATATAAACTTTTAAAATTATAGTTAAAAACCTGTCTCAAAGGGTTGGCTTTAATAAATAGACAGAATAGTTTATTTAAAAAAAAACACAAATCCAAATATACACAGTTTGAAAAGTGATCGCAAATATAGAAATAACGGAAACTGAATTCGAATTCTTATGTCATATAGTATTTTGCCACTTGTTCAAACCACAACCAAAACTGGATATATTCGACGAATGACACCATAAATATTGCAAATAAACAACAAAGGAAGAATACTAGGCACATCAACTGGTTTTTTATATGGGGAAGTTCAACAGATCGCCCGAGGAAAGTAGCTACTTTTTTAAAAACTTCCTAATGTGTGATATCGTAGGTTACGACAAAACAAAGAAAAACTCTAAAGTACAATTAATTGTTTTGGATGGAAATTTAAATTCCAAAAATGTTCCACTTCTTAAAACAAAACCAGTGAACACCGTCTGAATGCAACCATTTAAATGATGAACTTTATTCCATTGCGCCAATTTATATTGCTTCTGACATCTGACTTTGTTGACTATGCGCGTAATTGAATGATAAAAAGCAGAAATGGAAAACGCCATTAAAATACTTTCCCGTCAATGAACGATTTAGTTTGCAATGTCTATGATGAAAAGCATGCCACTTAGCGTGAAATGAAAACGTTTCACTAATGTCAAGACATCTTTCTACTAGTTTCAATAAATTTCAATCGGTCAAAAAAGATAAATAGATCTCACATTCAAATGGTTTTGAATAAAATCGTAAATTTTTACGCATTTTCAGTGGGAGTGCTTAAATGCGAACATGTCGCTATTTATTTATTTATTTTTTTTCATCAAGTCTACAAGCAGATAAAAAGCCTATAAATTTGTATAAATTATAGTTTACCCACAATGAAATGTGTACAATGTGTGAAAACATTAAATTCAATCGTGACTTTGTCTGACATCTATGGTATATTTCTGAAAAATGTTCACAGATTTCATATTTTATAATTGTTTCATCGCGATTTATTTTTCTAATCATTTGATCAATTAACGACGTTAATGCGGATTGAAAATATTCACGATTGATTTTCATTCATGTGATTGAATACAACAACTAAGCAAACAAACGGCCGATTGACAATGACTATCTGGAGTCACCTCTTGCCCACATTTCAACGAATGAAATTAAATGTGGCACATGTTGCTGACATTTCCAATTTTATTTTACTTGGTTGAACTTCATTTTAATTGATTGTACACAATTTGTTGTAATCGTTTCGCTGAGAGCGGAAAAAAGCGTTGTGCCCACAATGTGATGAAATCAACACAGAACAATTCAGTTTATATAAAAATAAACAGGCATGGCTACAAAAATGAAAATATAAAATGAAGACTCAACAAATCTGTCATCTTTTATTGATTCAAGAAAACCATTGTGAGATGACTTATCCTTGTGTCAGATTTTAATACAGAAAATGATGAGAATATAAACGAAAATTGATCTGTTAAGAAGAAATAAATCGCATTTCATTTAAATTCTTGGAATGCATGACTATTTTTTCTTCTATCTTTAGAAACGTGAAGTAGCTATGTGTCCTATACATGTTTAATGATTAACATATCTTACAATACATTTTTGGTTGTTGTCGTTTCTACTCGAAACAGACCTAGTCTGGTTTAATCATTGGCCTATAATTACTTGATATCAGAATATTGAACAGAACACATGTGAACGAAAGACCAACACAAAATCCTTCAAATACACATTTGCGTTGAACATTTTATTTGCAAATCAAACGATACTTTAATCATTGATACAATCAAGGAGTGACCACCGATTTCATGGGTTTGCACGTTACACGAAGGTTAGGTCACAGGATTTTCTATATATAGAATTTTTGTTCATTTAAATTCTTATTCTTTTGATTCGGTTGCCATTTAATGTCATACACTTAGTTTGGATTATTACTTCTGGTTTTTTCCCTGGGTTTTTATAAGTACTACACCGAAAGAATTTATAAACAAAAAACTAAGGTCTTTTTTATATAAACTGACTTCTTTTCGAACATGGCAATTGCCACTAATGTCACTAGTTCTACTGAACTGTTGTGAATGTGAAAATAATATCATTATGTTTAAAAAATGATTGGCATGGAATTTAAAAGTCATTAATATTTATTTGATTGAATGAATATTGTGTCCACAATATCAGTGAAATTGAAGTGTGTGCATCGCATTTACTTTTCTTCTATAACATATTATATGATCACATGTTTTGCTCAATTCTGATCGAATTTACTTTCCGCGTAAATAAATGACCTCCTCGGCATTTGAATAAAAATGGTTTTATTGATAAGCAAATTAACACTCAATTTTCCATTTCATAATTTAAGACGAAACAAAAAAAAATCGTTACGACGATAACGATGACATATATAATTTTGATATTTTTGATTTCGTAAAATTAAAATTTCAACAGTTTTTCAAGTCTGACTATTAGTTTGTTATTAACAACAAACGATCTTTTTCATCGTCATCGTCATCGTCGTCGCCATCGTCGTTTTATTCTTCTTAATACACTCCCACTTTCTTACACACATCTTTCGTCACATATAATACCCGAATGTGTCGTTTGAAATGATATAAATCAAATGACGAACGTAAATAATGTAAACAACTTTATGCTAATTGTTCAAGACACTTTGAACATTTCGACAAATCATCAAATTAACGACAATTTAAATGTTTACAACTACGTAACCAATTTCTCTAAAATAATAGATTTTCAACTACAAAATTACCGAGTATTATTTTTAAACAAATTTTGGATAAATTGATAGCTTTTTGTCTTTTGTGATTTTCCTTTTACTTCTTCTTGAAAATCGAAAAAAATGACGAATTTTTTACACTCAATGTACGCTGTCACATCACTCCTGTGTTGTTCAGTACATGCTGCTTCGTCGATGTTTAAAAACAAACTAATCCCCTGAGTAACTCTCGATATTATCACACTGCTGATGTGCGTTGTGTATTGTGCAACCTGGTTGATATTGAGCGGCTTTTTCATGATTTGGTAAGAGAGTATTTGGTATTTGTTGTTGTTTCATGTGTGCGGCAATGCCTGTTTGTTTATATTAACATTATTCATTTTTGTATCATTTTTATAGTGTATTGGTGTGTCGATATGGCATTCGATCAGGTTCTTGGTGAATTTCCGGAATTTGCTTTAGTCACGTTATCACAGATGTACACCATGTGTGCTTATTTTGTTAAAAGTTTTTTTCTTCAGCAAAGCTTTTAAACCAACTTCGTGCATTTTAACTTCAATTTTAAAGTTAAGATGTCGTTCGTGTGAGTATTATAAATTTATTTAAATTGGAAATTCAGTTTAACTTCAAACCTTAAAGTGGTTTTTTGCGATATTTTTTTTAAATATTGAAATGTCATTATGTCTCTCAGTAGATCAGATAACTCATTGGACAAAAAGTATATTAGGAGTGTCTCACACCTAATTTGTTAGTACAGCACTTGCTTAATTATTTATTTTAAAAAAAAACAAATTTATGTATCCCATGCTGTTCATTATATCCAAAAATAATATGTTCTTGTCGTTGATGATGTCATGTAGTGATAACGGGTTGCAAAATGCCAGTTATAGGATATTATATCCACTTGTAATCCATAAAATGGACTGTAATTAAAAAAAAGAAAGAAGAGAAAAGTCTGCTGCTTGGCACCACAGCGATAATAAATAAGCACACAAATTTCCCAAAGGGATTGAATGAAATAACATATATTGTTGACGATATTTATGTGTCCATCCATCCAATAATATTCGCATGCATTTTGTTTTCACGAATTTATCTCTTTATAGCTATGTTTTGACCGAAATAACAACCAAAACCAAAATATGTTTACAAAAATATCGCTTTTGAACCGATGACATTTATCAGATCTCATGGGATTTGAATGTGGTTTCGCATTTAAGCCATGACGTACTATATAAAACGCAGTTAAACTGATGGCCACATATTGATTTTAAAATTTGTATGCATTTATTTCATGCTGGCAAATGGCTAAATAAAAGGAACATACAAATTTCACAAATGTTCAATTATTAGATAGAAAAATGTCTTTGTAACAGAGTTCCGTACAATGATTACAAAGTAAAATTCCGAAAAACTCAATTCCAAATTTATTAAAAGACATTTTGACAGTAGAGAGATCTCTTATCAGCTATGTGTGGCAACTCGTGTCAGTCAAAACCACGCGATTTTTATCTCGCAACACATTTCTCTGAAATTGAAGAAAATGGTTAGATTAGTTCGACGGAAATGAATTTTTGGTCAAAAGAATCATTCCACACATGAGCTCAAAATCCATTGTGTGTGTGTGTGTGTGTGTGTTCGCTAAGAATGTCGTTGTACATAAATACAAATGTGACAAAATATGGTTTTGTTTTAAAATGAAAACGATCAACATCAAAGACGCGAGTACGTAAAATGAAGACTCGAAGGCCACATATTGTTTTTAAATGCATTTCGGTGTGTGTTGTTTTGCTTTTAGAATGTGTGCACATATCATACAGCATGACTCATGCATGGAGGAGTGAATGTGCCTTGGGAATATTTAATGTGTATTGCTTTCCATCTAGATCTGAATTCACATGAGCACAACATAATCACAAAACATGAGCTCTTCGAAAAAATTCTTCGAAATTAATATGCTTGAAATAGTTCGGTGTTGGTCTTCTGTTTTAAAACAGTTTGAGCGATTTTCCACACAATGAATGTATTAGTTCCAGCAATGCAAGAGGATAAAGGCAAAAGGAAATAACACCATAATATAATTGATTCATTTCAATGAGATCTTCAATTGTACATCACTAAACCATGCATCCTTCTTTTTCAAGGTGAGATTTTTTTTTGAACTTCTTTTTTTGTGCATCTTCTTTTTTCTTTTTCTCATTTATCTATGCTTTACAAGAGTGTAAAAGAGTTTCGTTGGTGTTGTGCACCATTTTTAGACGATCGTACTGCTTCTGTATGGGAATATAGCCCTCATATATGATGTATGTGACCATTGCAAAGATTTTGTTCGAAGTTTGGCTCTGTTGATTGCTTGTTGCAATATACCAATGATTGCTATGTTGCTATATCGACACACAACAACCATTTTTCCCACACTACATTGCACACAGTGCACATACACATTGTGCCAGCCCATTCAATGACCAATATGAGCATTTCAAGTAAAAAAAAAAAACTTTTTTATTAGCAATCATGTAACTGCTGCCGATTCAGTGGCTGTAAAACCAGTTGTTTTCAATCAGTCGGTGATTTGTTTCTCATTATTTGATTCGAATGTTATGCACGGCACAATAATAAAATTGGCTGTTTGGCACTCTCTTGAGCTGAACATAATATTCTAGCATTATCATTTTCATGCAGAATGCGCACCAAACAACAAGAATTTTCATTTGATGCATTGGCATTAGTTCATGAATGATTTTCTATCTCTATGATATCTTAAGTGTGATGATTCAGTAGAAATCGTTGGCCTTAACAATCAAGAATATGGCATTTATTGTGCCTTTTTTTCG